ATGAGCTTGAAGTTTATTTGTCACAGGGAATTGAGGAAGTGAATCCCGACGGCTCCTTTAATATTTTGGAATGGTGGAAGGACAAAAAAAAATACTTTCCGTTTCTTTCAAGGATGTCTNAAATGTTTGATATTCTTGATTCACTATGGTCAAGTTGGCAATAAAGTGATAATAATTTACCTCCATTTCAAAAAAACACAGATAACTACCTCCGTCCATATTGAAGCTATATCATTGAGAGACACTTGGGTTGAGCTACCATCCTCGGAATCGGGTTGACTTTGAAGCCATTCCTCAAAACGTTGCTGATAGGCTTCCTGAAATTAAAATGTTTGATATTCTTGATTCACTATGGTCAAGTTGGCAATAAAGTGATAATAATTTACCTCCGTTTCAAAAAAACACAGATAGTTGATAATTTTGTTCACAACCAGAGAAAGAGATACATATATACATGAAAAATGTTAGCAAGTTAGTCAGAATCCTGCTAGTAATAGATGAATAGCAAGACTAAAGATCCTGCTAGTAATAGATAATCCTTTAAAAAACTGCTTCAAAAGTCCTTTCCTTGTAGTATTTGTGATAGATAGTAATAGATAGTCAGCTCTTGCTTCCCTAACATATATTGATTTATCCAGCAACAGTGTTCAAAAGTCCTTTCCTTGTAGTATTTGTGATCTAGAAGGCCTTGTTTTTACCAATTTCCCCGGCAACAAATTCACTGGCCTTAAGATTTTTAAAATAATTTGTTATTGGTATGATATGCTTATTGTGAAAACCATGGTACTTTCTTGTCAATCTCCACCTACTTTGTCTTCTAGATGGAGAGCATTGCCAACTGAGTAATATATTCTTGCAAAGATTTCATGTCTGCTAAGTTTCCAATTTTTTTCCCTTTCCAAGATGAAAGATTTACCTAGCTTTTATGGAAAATTGTCAAATATCTTAGGTTGTGAAATAGTTTTCTTTTTTATGTCAAATGATATCCTCAAATTTTTATCTGTTCAAATGAAAAGAAAATGGAAAAATAGAAAGTCCGTTGTGTTGAAAATTTGCATCAGCAGCTGTTTTGAGTTGTAGGATTCATAGTTAGATTTTTAGAAAAGGAATGGATGAACCCTACCTTGAAAAGTTGATTTTCAATTATTAGTTGTCCAAGAAACAGAACATGCATATAGGGAAAAGAAATGGTTATATCTATATGCCTCTAAAAGGAAATAAAATTAAGGAAAACAAAAGCCAAAAGCATTTATGCCATATGAGCATATGGGAATTTTGGGTCCCCTTCCTCAACACATTTATACATAAAATGTGGCTAAGAGTTGCTCAGAACATCAAAATATCTACTCTGTTTTATTGACAAAATTGCCAAGTGCACTTGTTACACTAGATTGTTCTGATTTTCTAAGTGCCCACTAGGCTAATGTCTAGATCAAGCAAAACACATAGATTCATTTCTTGTTAACTGATTGTATTGATTTTGCAGTTATTTCTCCCTTTGCCTAATTATCAGGTAATGGATACTTCTTTCAATGTAGCTACTTCTTTCATCTCCAATAAAAAACCAAAAGACGAAACTAGAGAATCTTGTAGTTAGGATCTTACATATGTCCTCGCAGCACGCGGCTCGACCCATTCTCTTGTCCCATCCTTTTTCTTTTTCATATGTTTGTCCTCAAAGACCTCAACATAAGTCACAAGTCTCACTTTTTCCTTTTCCTGCAAAAAAAAATAAGTTAGATAAAGTTCAATTGCATCTAGTTAAAATCAAAACAAAAATAATCTGAGGAGGCGGCGGAGGAGGAGGAGGCGGAGGATGAGGAGGATGAGGAGAAGGACTCATAAATGGCACAGACGAGGTCATGGGACCTGAAGTGTACTGAGGAAGCTGGGTATCGTGTCTTATCTTCTTTTTTTTACCCGGCGCCATCTGTGTAACATAAGTATATTAAAAACATTAGATGAAATATGTTAAGACATAAAAAATGTAAAGAAATTCTTCAGCTTATTAAATGAAAACGAAAACACATAAAAACCAACATGCCAATCCTCTTCGCTTGATTGATATTCATTATTTTGTTTCATTTTCATCAAGCAATTCTTCCTCATCGCTTGTTTCATTTTCATCAAGTAATTCTTCCTCATCGCTTGTTTCATTTTCATCAAATGATTCTTCCTCGCTTGTTTCACGTTCATCGGCGGGATCTTCCTCCATGTTTGTACGGGATGTTCCTTCCATAAATCCTTTTTTATAAAGATGAACTTTAACAACATCTGGTTGTAATAACTTTTCGCACTTGCATTTCATACAAGGACACCTAATCACCCCTTCACTGAGAAATTTATGAAGTGCTTTTGTTTTAGCCATGAATTCAGCAACCCCTTCTATAAATTCCTCCCTCAACCCACTACGATTAGGATAAATTCGATTATACATCCATCTACGATGTGCAAGCTCCATCTACACAAAATAAATCCAAGATATTTAAAACAATATATATTAATTAGTATTATGATCGTTTAACACAAGCCATCTACACAAATACATTGTAATTACAAATACATTCTAATTAAGCAGATTCTAATCACAAATACATTCTACTTAAGCATATTCAAGTTGAAAGAGCTCTCCACAAGAAAGTATGAATTCCATTTGAGCTTCATTCTTTTAAAGTAGCCTCATTTTATTTCAAGAAAGTATATTTTACTAGTAAAAGCATTTGAATTAGTGTATTTCAAGAAAGTATACTTTCAAGAAAGCATACCCCTAATGTAAGAAATAAAAGCACGCATTTGTCACAAGCTTGGGCTTCAACATAGCTATAATTTTACAACTTACATTGGGCGAGTTTTGGTCATAATCTAGACTTTAAAGTTTGAGTCCTTCGTTTTTTCCAGAAAGGTAACAGTGGAGCTTGAGTCAAATTTTAATGCTAATATTTAAAAATCTAACCAAAGTAGGAGAAAACAAGTGGTCGAAGAGGAATCTTTACACAAATAACTAACCGCATTCATTATTTACTTTTTCTAGCCGATATACATAGATTATACCACATATTATGCATGGTCATACACATATCATAAATGAATTATACATATACATCTGCTAGCTATTTTTAGTTTAAGCGGTTGGATTGCAGCTATTTGGGTTAATTCTTCAGGACTAACTTTCTCTACAATAAGCTACATAAAACATTTGATTTCCAGAAACTTGTAGAGTCCCAGCCTCTAGTAAAACCATAACTTTCATATTAACCAAACAAGATCCTTGAACAAGAAAAGCTGGAGTACCTTAAGCGATGAAACAAACTGAAGAAGAAAATAAAATGTATTTAAAAAAAAAAGGAAAACGAAAGAATCGACAGGTTTACATATTTGCTAGTCCAGTTAACATCTTTCGAGAAAACTTTCCCAGAATATGAAAAGCTTGAAAAGGGTCAAGGCTAATTAACAAGCTAACTAGACGAGAATGAATACAACAGTTTCTAGGTAAGAAACAGTAACAACCTTTGTTGAAAGGAAAAATCACCACTACAAAAGAAATTCCCCCTTTTTAATTACTAGAAATTTCAATAAGAAGCATAACACAACATGGATTGAAAAGAGAAACAATGTCTTAACAAGATATGATTACAGCAATGAATGAGAATTATAAAAATATCACTGCAACTCATTCACGCTAATGAGAGTGAAGATGTAAAGAAAGAATTGGGTGGTGTGCAGTTACCTGAAATATTCGTTCGCCCGACCTCTGTCAGCCGCTGAGATGAAGTGGAAGATATCGAGAGAGAGAGAGAGAGAGAGAGAGAGAGAGAGGAAGGAAATTGGGGAAATAGGGCGCGCAGAAATTGGGGAAATAAGGTTTTAGTGAAATATTAAATTTAGATTTCTCACTAACGTGGTCACAAAACCATTTAATTTTTTTTACCATTTTAATTTTAACTTAGCGACCGACGCTTTGTTGGCCAACTAATATTTTTGACTTTTTATTGTCCGACTAAATCGGTAGCAAAAGTGAACAAGGGAAATTGACGCGCTATTTTCACACTATTTTTGTCGGAATAATAGTCGAATTTTTATTTTTTTAAAAGTAATAAAAATTCAGATTTGTTTCCGACTACAACAGTCGCAAAATTAGTCCCATTAGCGACTACTTCATTTTCAGTCGGAAATTTCAGTCAGAAATTAATGTTTTTCTAGTAGTGTTCTTTTTTAAAAAAAATCCTTTTCACAAGCCACCAAAATATCTTATAAATGTCCTCTTTTTCTCTATTTTGCAAGTGACGCGCTTTAATGTTATGCGGTAAGTACTGCTGGTGAGCATTGTGGTCAATTTTAGTTTGACCCATTGTACTTTTTTGTTGTAGAACCCACTTTGTGGTGACAAAGATTAGACATAACTCCTGCGAGAGGCGGTGGAGCCAGGATTTCAAACATATAGGTTCGGAAGTCGAATCTTTTTAAGTTATCGGGTTCTGAATTAATAATTTATATATGTTCAATGAACTTTCTAAGATACATACATGGTTTTAATCAAAGTTACTGGGTTCGGCCGAACTCATAGTCGGACTCTGGCTCCGCCCCTGACTCCTGCCTTGTATATTAGTGGCAAAACGACCCCGTATCTACTTAAACCTGCACCGGTTTGTCATCCCGATATATAAACTTTTATATTTTCCATTTGGACACCTCTACTTGATGAACTTAATACTAATAAACACATCTGACTGAACGTGTTCTTCACTCGCTGGGACATGACTGACACATAATATACTAAGTCTTTTATTCTTTGACTTGTGTAATCTGTGGGTCCTACTTTAAATGAAAAATCATTTTACCAGATTGTTATTGTCCTCCTCTTTAAAAAAATTAATTTTTGTCTTCTTAGTAGTCAAAGCTCCTGTCGATCCACCACTATTCCACCATATTCAATACTCTATCATCATTAATTTGTTTTTTCCATTCTCTTTATCTTAAAAATTCTCCTCTCAAAAGACCTCTTATATCAGTAAAATTAGCCATTGCCTCAACAAGTCACCATTGAAAGACTTAAATTTTTTATTTACCGTGGACAATCTCTCAAACAAGAAAAAATTAAAGATGATATTCATTTTAATTTTTTGCAGTGAAGCTTTTAATGAAGAAAAATGGCTATCTATTTTGATTCCTAAGAATGATATGATTTTGGGTATTTTTCAGCAGTTTTAATGGGAAAGGAGACAAAGGTTAGTAGGTCTAGGAGATATTGTGATGTTTGGGAAGTCAGACCATTGGTTTATTGGGGATATTTTTATGGAGCATAGGTACACCATTGCTATATAGTGAAGAGCTTCAAAGCCTCTAATGGAGATTAAAAAAAAAAAGAGAAACAAAAGGACACATGATTTCAGGGGAAAGAAAAGAAAAGAAAGGGAAAGGGGATGGGGAGATGGGGTGTCGGGTGGGTTTTGGGAATTTTTTATTCTTTTTTACTTTTTATCTTTTCTTTTCATTTTCAAGAAAATTGCTCTCACGTGTCTGATTTGCATGATATGCAAACACTATTGCCAAGTCACACATATTGTTGTCACATAGACTTGGTCAATGGTCAGAAGTGTTTATTGATACTTATTTTGTTAAGTACAAGTGTTTAAATGGAAAACTTTTAAATTCATTTACAGGGTTGACAAACGAGTACAAGTTTAAATGGCCCGGAGACCATTTTGCCTATATTAGTTAATACCTGAAAAGAATGATGTAGTACCTAACCTCCTTATATCATATTTCTCAATGAAATAGTAGCTCAAAGCTCAGTTGAGCTTCAATGGTGATGAGATCTGAACCTCTATTCAATGGGAGGTTACAGTGAAGACAATGATGAAGAAGGAGATAGACGAAGTTTCTGGAATTTCAATTCACTGAAAAATGAAAAGTGAGTGGAGTGTCCACTATATACAAACGAGAATAATAAGGAAAATGAAGAAATAAAATCAGCTAACTAAGCTTCTACAGCTGTCACTTAACTAACCACTAACTACTCCACTAACTGCTAACTAACACTAATAACTCTGCTCCAATAACTAACTAAGCTAAGCTAAGATGAATAATTAATCTTAACACCTCTCCTCAAGTTGGAGGTGTAGTGAACACAACCAACTTGCCTAATGTAGCACTGTGCTTGATTCTAGTCAGGGCTTTAATCAAAACATATGTGAGTTGATTGTTTGTTCTAATGTGGTGGAGAGAGATTAAGCCTGCTTGTAATTGATCACACATAAAATGACAATCCACTTCTATATGCTTGGTCCTTTCGTGAAACACTGGATTCTTTGCAATGTGCAGTGCAGACTGACTGTCATAAAAGACTGAGATAGGCAAGGAAAATGGGACAGTCAGTTCCTCAAATAGTCTGCTCAACCATACTAGTTCCCTCACTACTTTCCTCAAAGCTCTATATTCTGCTTCTGTAGAGGATAGAGATATAGTCTCTTGTTTCTTATATTTCCAGCTGATAGGACTGTTACCCAATAGTACTAAATAACCTAGTAATGAACCTCCTAGAATCCGGGCAAGCTGCCCAATCAGAGTCACAATAAGCTTTAACTGTGTGATCTCTATCCTTTAACATGAAAATTTCTAAGGTAGGGTCATTCCTCAGATATTTGAACAGGTGAAATACTGCTTTCAGATAGGTTTCTATGGGCTACTGCATGAACTGACTTAAGTGTTGAACACTATATGCAATATCCAATCTGGTGTTAGTTAGAAAGTTCAGTTTACCTACTAGCTTTCGATAATAGGTAGGGTCCTTCAGTATTGTGCCTTCTCTAGCCTTCAGCTTTATAGTGGGATCCAAAGGTGAAGAGCAAGGCTTGTGATCCAAACAATTGTACTCCTTTAACAAGTCTAACACAAACTTCTTTTGAGATATGATGACCCCATCATCTTTATACATAATCTCCAAACCCAGGAAGTAGTGTAGCTGCCCCAGGTCCTTGATCTTGAATTGTTCATGTAGGAATGCTTTGAGTTGTGCAATTTTCTATTGGTCAGTTCCAGTGAGTAGTACATCATCCACATACACTGCAACATATACTGAGGATTCTCCATTTCTTTTGTAGAAAGGTGAGTAGTCATACATGGAATGTATATAGCCCTTTGAGCACAATGCTTCAGTCAATTTTGCATGCCATTGTCGACTAGCTTGTTTTAAACCATAAAGAGATTTATTCAGTTTACAAACCAATCCTGGTTTGTCTAAAACTAGCCCAGGTGGTACTTGCATGTACACCTACTCATTGAGGTCTTCATGGAGAAAAGCGTTGTTCATATCCAACTGAGATATGGACCGGCCTTTCTTAACTGTTGTAGCTATCAAGGCCCTCACTGTTGTCATATTTACCACTGGTGAGAAAGTTTTTGTATAATCAATTCCTGCATGTTGAGTGTAGCCTTTAACAATCAGCCTGGCTTTGAACCTTTCAATACTACTATCTACTTTGTGCTTCACCTTGTATACCCATTTGCAGCCTATTGCCTGCTTTCCAGGTGGCAAGATTACTAGGTCCCAAGTATGATTGGAATATAGTGCTTCAAATTCCTGTGTCATTACAGCTTACCATGCAGGATCAATGGATGCCTCCTCATATGATGATGGTTCCCTGTCATGACAAACATTTATCACAAGAGTCTGACTATTGGCAGTTAGTAGATCAGAGGCAATATGGTGGTTCACAGAGAATAAAGCACTTAGGGAAACAAAATTTGTTTTGAGGTGAGGAAAGAAATGTACATAATCTTGCAGATAGATAGGTGATTTATGAGTTTTTTATGATTGCCTTATTAGTTGGACAGGTTCTTCATGAGTCTGTTCAGTGTAGTATTATTGTGGTGAATCAGGCAGTGAAGAAGTGGGCACTACAAAATGTGACGGGGAAGCTACATGTGCAGGTGACATAGGATTAGATGTGTTATTTGCACTCCTTTGACTATTCAATTTCTCAGACACTTGTGTGATATTTGTATTATCAGAAGGTTGCTCACATAGGGACTCAATGAAAGGAATTGGATGAGGGACAGATGATTGAGGAGATTTGTTCATATTGACTGCAAAAGGAAATATGGACTCATTAAATACCACATCCCTGGAGATATGAATTTTCCTGGTGGCTAGACTCAGAACTTTGTACCCTTTTGTGTTGAAAGGATAACCAACAAACACATGTGGTGTTGTTCTGGCTTCAAACTTGTCCCTGTGTGGTATTGGTACAGTAGGATAACATAAGCAACCAAAGTTCTTTAGGTGAGAATACTTTGGCTTTCTTTTGTCAGTAGTTCATATGGGGTTTGATTGTTAATAGAACTAGAAGGTAGTCTATTTATAATGTAGGTGGCACAAAGAACACATTCACCCCAGTATCTTAAAGGTAGTTTGGATTGGAAGAGAAGAGCTCTGGCTATTTCAAGGAGATATTTGTGCTTTCTTTCCACCACACCATTCTGCTGTGGTGTGTAGGGACATGTTCTTTGATGGATGACCCCCTTAGATTGAAACAACATACTTGCTTCTTTGTTAGTGAACTCTAATCTATTATCTGACCTTAAGGAATTGATAGTTACACCAAACTGGGTTTCTACTAGATTCATGAGCTCTTTGAGTATTTGAAGAGCATTACTTTTGCTGGATAAAAGGTGAGTCCAAGTAGATATACTAAAATCATCCACCATAGTTATGAAGTATTTATATCTATCATGTGTAGGGACATGATATGGACCCCACAGATCAACATGTAGAACTTCAAAGATTCTATTGGTTGTACTGGTTTTCTGAGAAAATGACAGTCTTTCTTGTCTAGCCA